CACAATCGTCGGGGGTAGAGGGAAGGAAGGAAGGAGTGGGAGGGTAGGGGAGAGGGGGGGCTGTGAGACTGCATTGTGCCATCCCCGTCAATAGGTGGACCCACTCCCGGCCCCATAAAGCCACCTGAGTCGAAGCTGGCAGCCTCTGCTGTCTGAGATCGCAGCTGCCAGTAAGCGCGCTTGGAGCGGGGCTGCGGAAGATGGCTAGGGCTGCCCCCCTATGCAGCCCAAACCAAATTTTCATCTTCTAATGTGGCCCAGGGAAGGTGAAAGGTTGGACACCCCTGGTCTACAGGATACCCTACCATTTAGAGTGCGACACAATGAAGGAAAAATCCTGGACTCTATTTCATCAGGTAAACACTCACCCAAATACAAAGCAAATGTCAGAGCTGTTTTTGACAGGTATGAAGGGTACACTCATAGTAATATTTTAACTAATACTAATAAATATGCTTCATAGTTTCCTATCATGGCAACTGATAAAAAATATGTCCAAAACCTTTTGTTGTATTTATTCTATTTTTATACCTCCCCATTAGTGGAAGCACTACATTTTTTCAGATATTAAAAATAAGAGCAAATAGCTGTCTCTCAGAGGGAGAGGGAGAGAGAGATACATAGACATCTATATATAGATGCTGCTAACCTGTCTATATTCAATTAAAAAGAATCCTTTCAATTTAGCATGTTGTGTTGCTGTGAAGTAACATTGCTCTGAGTCTTTGGAGGAAAGCAGAATGCAAGTAAATAGATCAAACTGCTGTTGCCATGGGAATTCACAAACTTTCATGTTCCACAACACTTCTGCGTACTGTACCTTGTGGTAATGTGGAAGAGTATGGTGTAAAATACACTGTGAGGAGGAAGTGGTGGCCTTAAGTATGGGTCTGCCTGACAAGAATGGCTGGTTTGTACCAGCATAACCCTTCACTTGCATCATCATCATCATCATCATCATCATCATCATCATCATCATCATCATCATCATCATCATCATCATAGTTTATTTACGGTCCTTAGACCAGTCACATAAGCATAGAACCTTATAAAACGTTAAAATTTCTAACTTTCGATATCCCATTAGATCATGTTGGCATACATACAACTGGGAACTGCAATCTAATTGGTATTTAATACTTGCATCATTACATGGGACTCTTCAAAGGTTGCATTTCAGATGTTCTGTTATATCTTCCATTAACAGCACTGGATCTGATGGCCAGATTCACTGCAGGCAAATGTAAAAAGGAGCATGGGTACTGAATTTATTCACTTCGAGCTGTATTTGTCTTCAGTTTTTTTACAAATAACGAAGGGGAGAATCAGGTACAAACTGATGTGGAATGCAATAATTATAAATCTTCATTCAGCACTGATACTAGTCAACGGGTAATGCAGTATTTCTGCAAGCTATGATGTCAAAATCAGAGTGAAAAATCCATTTGTAAGGTAAAATGTTCTTGAAGAGTCTTCAATCAGAGCAAATTATCAGTAAGGACATAAATAATGCTCACTAAATCCTTAATTCATGTTGATTTAGGCTGTTTCAACAGACATCTTGAAGAAGAACTTTAAAGCTCTGTCAAATGTCCAGAAATAAGAGTGATCTTTTGCTTGTTACATTGCACATTTATCTGTGTAAAACTAGTGTTGTCTCCCTGTGAAAAGTACAGTGGTGCCTCACTTGATGATGTTAATCCATTCCAGGGAAATCGCTGTAGAGCAAAATTGTCGTCAAGCGGGGGGAAAAAACCATTGAAATGCATTAAAAACTGGTTAATGTGTTCCAATGGGCTAAATACCTCATTGTAAAGTGAAGATCCTCCATAGGGCGGCTGTTTACCGGTGCCTGTATAGTGAGGAATCCGTCCTAAAGCACAGTGGGGGGCCATTTTGCACAGCAGGTGGCCATTTTAGACCTGCCGATCAGCTGTTTGAAAATCGTCATCTAGCGAAATTTCGGTTCCTGAAGCAAGGGGCCAATCGTCGTGAAGTGAATTTTCCTATTAGAACATCGTTTTGCAATCGCTTTTGCGATCTCGTCAAGCGGTTTCATTGTTTGACAAGGTAATCGTTAAGCGAGGCACCACTAAAGGAACAGAGTCAAAAGAGAACAATAGCCAAGCCAGGGAGGGGTGAAGTGTGGCCAGAGGCTGCATCAGAAATAATTACAAAGGGGAAAGGGAGGATTGAGAAAGGCTTAGTTTTGCTCTAGGGACCTCCAGAAGGGGCATTTTTCATGCTAGGGACTGTGGAGGGAGGAAGCGCCCCTTGAAGAAACAAGGGAACTTTTTTAAAAAAAGCAAAAGGCCTGCCTGGGCACTCTGTTGGTGTGCTTCTTTCCTTGCTTTCTTGAAATTGCTATTTCTGACCCTATCTGGGCCTGGTGCAATCCACAGTGGGTTGTGATCTAGAAAAGCAAATTTGGCTCCCCGGTATACTACAAGTGCCTAAACCTGCATTAAACTGACAAAAATAACCCCAAATGATTTTAATCTTTCAAAATCCATGCTATAAAGCAACAACCATTGTTATTTTGCTAAAAAAATGTGTTATGTGAATTAGAGTGCTATTTTTTGCTTTTTTCCTTAGTATGCACAGAATATCTGTTGCTTTCTCCTTCTCCTTCTCAAACTGAGAATTCCCATACATAAAGAACCTTTGAAAAAGTACTCACTATTGGTAGCCTGGCTACCAGCCTAAAAGCCACATTTTTATTACATTTCAGTATATGGTCAATGGAAGCATTCCTATCAATGTCTAGTTTACGGCCACTTGAACAACCTGCATTCCACCATTTCTTCACCTCCCATTTTAACTCAACTAACCTGTAATGTGAGAATGTAAATGAGGGCCTGGTGTTACCAAGGAACACTTTTTAGCTTTCCTCGTGGTGTTGAACAGTATATCATCAGGGCAATGATGCTGCAATGATGTATTGCATTAATACAACACAAGAAAACTATTGTCTTGTGATGTATTAGTATAATACACTATTGGAGCACTATCACTGATGTATTACTCAGAAGGATAATTTTTACCCTTAAAAAATATTTAGCATCTAATGAAAAATAAAGGAACAATGATGATGGGACAATGATGGCAGTACTCAGAACTGAATCTGATGCAAAAGTAAACATTACTGCTAATAATAACTGGGCAGCCACAGTATTAACTTATTCTTTTGGAATTGTGGGCTGGAAATACGGTAATCTGTATGGTTTTGACAGTCCTCCTGTGGAAAGACCAGTACCTTTATTTGCCACAGAGCATCGGTAGGCATAGACTTGTTGACCTTGAAATTCAATGTTTGGGTCAAGCAGTCAAATGACAAAACTACTTCCATGACATTACAGTTCCACTTCATCAAATATTAGAAAACAATAAAGGACTAATGGTATTACAATGGTGTCTCGCTTAATGATTACCTCGTTAAACGATGAAACTGCTTGACGATGAAGTTTTTGTGATTGTTTTTGCGATCGCAAAACGATGTTCTAATAGGGAAAAATCACTTAATGATGATCGGTTCCCTGCTTCAGGAACCGACTTTTCGCTTGACGATGATGTTTAAACAGCTGATCAGTGGCTCTAATATGGCTGCCCGCTGTGCAAAATGGCTCCCTGCTGTGATTTAGGACATATTCTTCACTTTACAGGCACCGAAAATGGCCGCCCCTATGGAGAATCTTCACTGGACGCTGAGGTATTTAGCCCATTGGAACGCATTGAAGGGTTTTCAGTGCGTTTCAGTGGGCTTTTTCGTTTCGCTTGATGAGGATTTCACTTAACAGCGATTTCAACGGAATGAGTTATCCTCGTCAAGCGAGGCACCACTGTACTACTTGCAAGTGAGACCCAACCTACGTTAACAAACTTACCAATTTACCCTAAGAAACAGTGACATGGGCAGTACCTCAGGTACCTCCTGGATGATAATGCTGATAAGCTGCAATGGAATATGTGGCTTGAATTAGGGATTCATCTGTGCAATAATTGAGGAATTCATCTGTGTAATAATAATTCTGAAGCATTTGTGGCATTTTCTTGGGAAGCTTTGGGTACTATGCATTTTGACTTGGATGAAGGCAGGAAAATGACTTGAGCACTGCTTGTGAATTCATCAGCACAAATTTTTGGTGGGTGTTGGAAACCATGTTCAACATGGTGGATCTTGACTTATTCTTAAGGTCTTTTCAGCTCAGTTCGCTATCCTCCTTATATAAAACTGTCTGTTGGCATCCCGTTTGGGGGATTGTTATGCTTGTTGCTTTCACAGAGTTGATAGTCAGCTGTCTAAGATGCTGTCATGTCACTGGGGGAAAAAAGAAACTTCAGATTGAGTGCTTCCAATAAATCTATGGAGTCTCTCAATGTCCTTGAAAACTTTTCTCTTCTCTTATTGTGGTCTGCAGAATTCCCACAGGAAGCTAAGGAATAGATTTGTTTCTTCTGGAAAAAAAATTGATGCAGTGGGAGTTATTTTTTCATGAGAGACAAATATTCAAACCTGTAGAAATAGTGTAAAGTACTAATTTTATGTAGTGGCTGAAATCCTGTTGTGCAGTGATGCCATCATCATAACTCAAAGCTGCAGAATTGTGCAACCGTGACATGAGCCACACAATCGATTGCACAACACAGGCTCCCTGAGCATAAAGTCTGGAATGTAACTTTACATTACACCAACCTCAACAGAATTCCAACCATTATTTGCTTACTTAATATACCTATAAGCCCCATTTCAAATGTGCAACTTTAGGAGAATTACAAATCAAAAGGGAAAACTTCAGAAAAAACTTTAATGAAAATTATAAACTGTACGGCTATTAAATATTAACATTTATGTGCATGTTTGTGTATTAGATTTCATTTTAAAATATTTTGGCTGTCCACCAGGACGTCGACAGGAGCACTGCATGGCTATGAAATATTAAGATTTATGTGCATGTTTGTGTGTTAGATTTCATTTTAAAATATTTTCTTTTATTTTTTAGCACGTCCACGTCCACATACTCCCAAGGAAGTCTGGAGATTTCAGCAGAAATGACAACATCTATGAAGAGGTACTGTATGTTTGAGCTCAAACGCCTTTTGTTTGATTATTCCAGTAGCTGCTGTAACACATAAAATTAATCTGACATTTTTTTTGGAAACAGTACAATCTTTTCTGGGGAAAAAATGCAATCAGTTTGGCAATAGGAATTGCCAAATAAGTGGTGCCTCGCATAACGAGTGCACAGTTTAACGAGAAATCCACATAGCAATCTATTTTTTTGGATCGCTAATGTGATCGCATTGCGATGTTCTGAATGGGCAAACATCGCATTGTGATGATCGGTAAGCGTTTCGCTTACCGACCTTCGCATTACGATGTTTTTAGAACAGCTGATCGGCTGTTCCAAAATGGCTGCCAGGTGCCCAAAATGGCCACCAGAAGCATTTTCGCGCACTGCCCTCGCTTACCAAGGCGGCAAAAATGGCGGTGCTATGGAGGATCTTCGCTGAACGGTGAGTTTGGGCCCCATAGGAACGCATTGGGCCCCATGCGTTCCAATGGGGTTTTTAGTTCTGTTTAGTGACGATTCCGGATAGCGACGATTAATCCGGAATGGATTAACGTCGCTATGCGGGGTACCACTGTACTCCATTTTCCAAAAAGATTTACAGATCATCTGCCCTGCTCTTGGTTTTAGAGGTGTTTGGTCAATTGACATGCTGGAAATAATGCTTGTTAATGTAGATCAGAGATTGGCAACATGTAGCTGCCAGGGGCCTTTTTATAGCCCCTAAACCCAACCCCGAGCTTCCCCCAGTGGGGAAAAGTCCTCCCATGTATGTTTTACCAAAGAACCACACAAGGTCTTCCAACTACCCCTGCAGAATTGCTTCACTAGAACCTATAGGTCTAAGACTTGAGATGGGGAACTGTTGATATTGCTGGAACCTAATCAATGTAGAGAACATGATACTTAGTGTAAATTGTCATACTGCTAACGTATCTTCATTCTTACTTCCTAATTAATAGACGATTAATCCGGAATGGATTAACGTCGCTATGCGGGGTACCACTGTACTCCATTTTCCAAAAAGATTTACAGATCATCTGCCCTGCTCTTGGTTTTAGAGGTGTTTGGTCAATTGACATGCTGGAAATAATGCTTGTTAATGTAGATCAGAGATTGGCAACATGTAGCTGCCAGGGGCCTTTTTATAGCCCCTAAACCCAACCCCGAGCTTCCCCCAGTGGGGAAAAGTCCTCCCATGTATGTTTTACCAAAGAACCACACAAGGTCTTCCAACTACCCCTGCAGAATTGCTTCACTAGAACCTATAGGTCTAAGACTTGAGATGGGGAACTGTTGATATTGCTGGAACCTAATCAATGTAGAGAACATGATAGTGTAAATTGTCACACTGCTAACGTATCTTCATTCTTAATTCCTAATTAATGAATGTATCTGTTAGATATTCCATATTTCTGATGTTCTGCTATTTGTTCTGCTATGTTACAAACACCCATTAGCTAGTAAAGGTGCATAGCAAAAACATATTTTTATCTCTAATATATATATACATATATACATATAATAGTACCAAAGAATGTTGAAACTGGCTATTCCTGGTTTATACAACTTTGGGGAACTTGACAAACTTGCAGTAGTGATGCATTTGCTGCATTTTTTGCAGTTAGAACAGATCTTGGTTTAAGGGAGGCCAAGCACAAACCTTAGGATTAATATCATCACGATTTCTGGGCTTTTCTCATATTATACGTGGAAGAAAAGCTCATCCTTTCCCAAGCATGAATTATTCAGTGTAAAACTTTTAAACCAGCCACGGTATTCAGCAGGCAACATCTTCCTCCTTCCCTCTGACATTCAGAGACACAGCAAGAAAATCACTTAGGGAAAGATATTTTGACTTAGCGATCTCATTCAACGCATTATGCTAAATCATTGTGGCAGCACAAGAATACCTATTAGGAATCATTTTCAATTTCAGAGGAATAGAGGAAGTGCCTCGGCATAAGACATAGCAGCTTTCCAGCTCCTGTTTCAGTGAAGCCAAACTGGTGAAGAGAAGCACATTCATAAGCTGATTTCCAAATATGCTGAAAGTTTCAGCTCGTGTTAAAATAGCTTGTTTGAGCTTTGACTGTCACACGCCACCGGCTCTTAAGCTAGCCTGCCTTGGAAATAGTTTTCATGAGTGAGAAAGAAGGGAGGAAAAAAACAAAAAAACAGAAGTAGGATTGCAAGTTATTTCTTTTCAGTTTCCTCAATGGCTTCTCAATAGCTGAATGATTTCCAGTAACTAGTGACTGGATGTTGGCTTTCATCTTTGAATGACTATGTCATATATGTATATGTCCAAAAATGTTGCTACTGTGGCTGCTGATTTATTACAGAAGAAACCTAACGGAGACCTGCAAAAACGTTTCTCCGGTTGACTGGTGCAATGAAAGGATAGCATCTTCCTTTCTGGACGTCTGGAAAGTATAGTTAGTACTTTTCCTAGTCCCTGCTTTGCTAGTATGTCCCCAACCTAATCTAGATGATTTTCAGCAGGGACATGCAGAAAAGGTACTCATGTCCAAAATATGGCAACTCATTCTAGAGCCTGGCATGAACTGCTAAACTGGTTCATGCCAATTCATGTGCCCCTCTCTAGTGTGGCCACTTAAATTAAACAGATCCTATGTTCTTGGTGCAGCTTCACAGCGAGCGAATGCACATTTCTCTCTCCGCATAGTTGCAGCATTATGAAGCCCAAAATACAGCTTCCTGAAACATGGTCTGGCTCAGTGAGATGTATGAATGAGCAGGATCTTAACACAGCTTTCTTTGATCCAAGTTTTTGATTTTATTTCACGGACTGCCCGTCATTTTTGTTCAAAATTAAAATGACCTGCAGTATAGAAATACAGAGAGTTTCGGAGCTTGGGAATAGCCAATGAGAAAACCCTCTCTGGCATCTCACTAGCTGTGTGTCTGAGAACAGAAAGATCCTGAGAAAGAAGAGTGTCCCATTGGAGCTGCTAATTTACAGACAGATGTTTACAGAGAATCGTGGTCCCTCAAATAGTACCATCCCAAGTTATGGGACTATTTAGGCAACCTATTAAATACAAATTTGCTGCTTTCAGACTCTATGAATGGGGTATTTCTAGAGGTCGTATGTTGGCTCCGAAAATGGCTGCCGGCCATAGGGAAGCATTGCTGAACGGTGAGTATTCGGCCCAATTGGAACGCATTAAACCATGTTTAATGTGTTCCAATGGCTTTTCCTGCCCCATTCAACGATGCTTTCACACAGCGATGGTTAATCCGGAACGGATTAACCTCGCTGTGCGAGGCACCACTGTAGATGCTTACAGAGAATCGTGGTCCCTCAAATAGCGTCATCCCGAGTTATGGGACTATTTAGCCAACCTATTAAATACAAAATTGCTGCTTTCATATTCTGTGAATGGGAACATTTGAATGAGGTATTTCTAGAGGTTGTATGTTGGCTTCTGGATTTAGGAATTAGGTGGCGCTGCAGGTTAAACTGCTGAGCCACTGTACTGTTGATTGAAAGGTCGGCAGTTCAAATCCACTGGTAGGGTGAGCTCCCGTCGCTTGTCCCAGCTTCTGTCAACCTAGCAGTTCGAAAGGACGCAAATGCAAGTAGATGAATAGGTACCACCTTCATGAGAAGGTAATGGTGTTTCATGTCTAGTCTTGTCTATGGACAAACACCAACTCTTCAGCTTAGAAACAGGATGAGCACTGGTCCTTAGAGTCGGACACAGCCGGACTTAATCGTCAAGGGGAACCTTTTTTATTATTGTAAAGATGGAAGCTTGGTTACAAATTCCCAGTCCTTTTAGCAGAAATATTGTATAAGGTTTATGTCAGAAGCAAAGTTAGAGTTTCCATGGGAACGTACACGTAAAAAAAAAAGATTGTTGGGGCATACTGGATCCAAACAAATCAATCCTAAAATGATAACAGCTGCTCCCATTTTATTTCACAATTATTTTGGAACATCCTGTGATTCTGAAACTTTGCCAGGTTGGTTAGCTCAGTCCTCTCAGTAATGTTCCAAAATATCCAAGTTAATTTTGTTTCTCTTAGCTTGTTTGCCGTTTCCCACTATACTAAGACTTCTGTTTTCTTATAAACTGTGTGAAAACCAAACAAAAGCAAAAAGAGAGCCATGCCAACACAACACCAGGGTTGCCTTTTGCTTTTTGCCTTGTTGTTTCCTTTGGTCATTCCTCTGTAATGCCTGAGGATCTTCCAGTGATTCATTCCCCTGCTTGTGTAGCCATGCTTCCTAGGTGCGGATATTCCTGCTTGGAAGTGCTCTGTAAATCTTGCTCTTCTTCCATTCTCTTTCAGCTGTGCGCCGTTGCTATCAGGGCATAGATATACATATTCATGCAACAACCCCTTCCACAGCCGGTTTGTTTGAAAGGGAAGCAAAATCCTTATATTTTCAGATGAAGGTGTTCGGTGCCGAAAAGGGTTCAAAAGCTCATCTGCTTCCCTGAGCTACAGCCAAATTATGAACGCTGCCTGAATCTGAAATGGAATCAGCCAGAAACACGCTTTTGATGAGATGCCTTGTGAGTTCTTGCAGGCCTAAGCTGTAAATATGACGAGATGATTCTTTCACATAGTATTTTGCCACTACCTGAATAGGTAATGTACTGGGAACTTCATATTCAGTTATTTCAGAATATATTGGTGTCATAACAGTATCTGGTACATCTGTGCATTCTCTTTGAGACTGGTGCCACTTTCAGAGAGAACACCCATCAGTTTCTCAGTGGGCTGTGAGCTTTTTCTTACTGCTTTGTAGCAGCAGCATGCATGGAAAGCAATTTCAGGGACACAGCATCAGTATGACTGATAGCATGGTGCATCAATGTTCCACATAGTAGTACTTCTCAGGAGAGCACAATAGGGAAGGGATCTGATGGCTGCACTAGGAATATGGGTTCTCATATGTCTCATAGTCCTAAATGAAAGGATGATCTGCAATATTCTTGCCCTCCACAGGAAGGAATTTCTGG